CAGACGTCATCAAGCAATGTTGATTTCTGCTACTTTCTATCACTCTGTAGAACAGGGAGGGTGGCAGTGTGAAAATATTTAAAAATTAAGTAAATTTGATTAATTAATTTTATGTTGTTTTACGTCCCATGTGATAATATTTTATTTAAAGAGAGGTCAACATATACCGGTGAGTGCATTCATATTTGGACCTCAATTGCTCGACACTTACAGCCATTGAGCAGTGAGTGATCTTTTCCGTGCCAAAGTCTACTGTGAAACCGGGCCTCGGTTTTAAATGTCTCATCCGAAGGATAGGCAACTGTCACTTCAATATGCCGAGGGCATGGCAAAGGAGCAGTTGGAATCTCATTTCATATGCAAGCTTAAGTCAAATCAAGTTCAGAGAAGTTTTTTTTCAGTGAGTCAACAATATATCTAACAAACGTAAAATTAATCCAAAGTATCAAGCTGACCGTAAAAGAGAATTTCGCATTTAGAAAGATAGCAACTAATATGAAAGCACAAGATATTCGAAGCTGAAAGAACGAGTAATGTAAACCATTTTATTTGAGACTGCATAGAAAACGAGAGGTACTGTGAGCACTGGGGTAACTATATGATACCCTGACTCCCATACGATTATAATGGCATGGTCCATGTTTTGTTCTGGGAGACACGAAATAAGTGTCAGATCAAAAAGTAAAATAAGAGGTCACATAAGAGGTAATAAAGAAACTGTGATGTATAATTGTATATTAATATCTTAAGTGGTAAAGGAGAAGTTGTAGATAACAGATGAATACTTAAACATTTTTTTTTTTCGCGAATATCATTGACCTTGCGAAACAAAATTTTCGCGAATATGTGGTTATTGGTATATATTCTTAAGGAATACTATTATACGCTCCAGAAAATGCGAAGTACACTGTATTAATGATACTGAATATTTTTTGCAAAACCAATAAAATTACAGTACTCATCAATATTATTTTTTTTAAAATGGCAAAATCCATGTTTTGGTATTAGAAAGCCCAAATATGTGTCGGGTCAAAAAGTAAAATAGGAGGTGCATAATGACACGATGTAACAATGATTCTGTGAAAGCCTCTTTTAATAAAATCAGAATTACAGTACAAGAATATATTTTTAGCAATGTAAATCAAATTTGGATACCTAAAAACTCCAACAAACTTTAAGAAAATTGAAATAACAAAATTAAAAAAAAATCATAAACATCAAAATGCATGACTTTCAAAACTTTATACAATCATTCCACACTAAAAATAAAAGTCGAGGCATTTTGAGATCAAAGACAGCTGCTATTCAAACAATAACAAACAGGGCCTTGTTTTTATATGCTATCAGAAATATATTATACTTTACACCTTCAATAATGCCGAGTATCCATTGCAAAGGAACTTTAGGCAGCGCAATTATCATATAACCTCATATGCAAGCTTAAATGTCTTAATCAAGTTTAACAGAATTTTTTTGATTTTGTTGCCATATTTGTAAAATGATCAGAGCTGAAAAAAAAACAGAATTTTTTGCATTTTTGAAATTAATATAATATGAACACAAGATATTTGAAATGTAAGAAAGATACTATTTATGTATATGTTTATGCAATTTACATTTTATTTTCAGACTGCATAAAAAAAATAGAGGTATGTGAACACTGGAGTCACTATTTGATACTCCCTTCCCCGATTATAATGGCAAAATCCATGTTTTATATGTTCAATAATATTATTTGTTTTACATTTTCTTTATGTCAATTAAAGTAAAATAAAATATATCTGTGGTCACATAACATTTCTGGTAGGCATAAATAAACTTTGAAAGTATTGTATTATATATTTCTTTTTAAAGGAGAAATTCCAGATTGTACACACAGATGGATACTAATCAATATCATCAAAAAAATGGCATGTTTCATGTTTTGGTAATATAACAATATAGTGTCGGACTTCAAAAATCTGTAAAATTCTTGCACAATGACACCCAATTTTTGTTCTATAAAGCCTGCTACAGAATTTAATTTTTTAAATCAGAATTACTGTACAAGAATATATTTTTAGCTTTGTTAATGTTATTTGGATATATAAAAACTACAACAATTTTTATTGTAGAAAGTTGAAATGAACAATTTTTTTTTTAAACATGTAACCTAAAATGCATGACCATTCAACAAGATATGACAATCAGTCCACAAAAAAAGATAAAAGGTCGATATTGCAAATTTTGCATCAAATTCAACATGCTTTTCAATAAAAAATATAACTTGTAAATATACTTTCTGGTCATTTGCAAATTTATTTTGTTAATCATTCAGATTGTACACACAAGCAGTCTGAAGTTCATATTCAAAAAGATGCTTTCATGGTTTTCTTATGGACAATGACTATAAAGTTTCTTGGAAATCAGGTCTACCAACAATAATTTGGAAAACTTCATTGATATTGTGTTGCTTTTTATTATTTATATGCTACAAGGTACAAATTCGACAAGGTAAGAAGTGTAAGAAGTGAATATATACTTGCTGCTCCAAGACTTCAAGTCGACCTTTAGATATATCGACGACTTGTTATCAAGTTTCGATTGTGGAAAGATGGAGATGAAAAATTAAATAAAATTGTACACAAGAGTGTAACCTAAATTATACCATATGACAAAGATAAAATGAAAGAGTGAAACAAAAAACAGAAGTTAAAAAGGGGAAAAAATATTGCAAATGGCAAACATAAAATTCAACATATTTATGGAAATGTTAAGATCAAATATAAGTATATGTTATCAAAATATTAAGAAGTTCAATAAAATATAGGTATGAATAATATCATTAATTTACAAATAGATCAGTCACTCTTTCGACCGTTTTTTGGAACATGCATGCAAGATCTTTCTGTTTGATATGTGCAATAATATTATTTTATGCTCCGTTTTCTTGATTCTATGAAAATCGGTAATTGCAAGGAAGAAAAAAAAAATATGCGACAGCCTCCAAATAAATTATCTGGCCAGATACTTAGTAAATAACAGGCGACCACAAAATAGTTATTTGGTGGCCGCCAGATAAAATATTTTTCTACCTTGCACCTTCCAGCTTCCGTTTGATATATCCGCCATTTAATAATATGTTTCACTGATCCGGTGTTTTCCATTATCCAGTCTTTTACTTCTTTTTATCCTGTAATCATTCTTACATGTATCCTGTATTTCTATTTCTATTCTCACTGTAGCATTTTAGCTGTTATAGTAATAAAAACAGGGTAACTCAATCCTGCCCCATTTTTTTTGTGTGTATGCATACTTATCACATGGAATTATATTCTTCGTCCGAATATAAATTATGCCATTAGTACATGTTATTCCTGGATCCACAACTACAGAACCCGGATTAAAATGTAATACTTTGTATGGAATATAATGTATATTAAGAATTAAGTCATTGCGATAGTAATTAATATAATTTCTAACTGAAAAGAATATACAAAAGATTAAAAAAAATCGCTGTATACCTTGATAACTCCTCCATAGGCAACACCCATCGCGCCTCCTCCGCCAAATACCAGATTTTCTATTTTCACTAAATTTAATTTATTTTTTTTTTTAAAAAAAGAATCAATGTGTTATTCAAAACTTTATCTTATGGCAAAATTGGGAAATACATGTACCTAAATATTTTTTCTATCATTTTTTTTCTATTTTCACTGAAGTTATGTGAAGTACTTCATATTATGGCAAATTTGGGAAATATATTAATTTAGTTATATTTTTAATTTCATTCAATTTTAAATATGTATTAAAATAAATGTGCAATACATCATCTTATCGCATATATGGGAAATACCTAAATGCTAAAATTATTTTTTAGAATCAATATTTCTGCAAAACAACATTAATACCTTCATTTTTTGATCCTGAACTTGCCATTTTGATGCCTAAAAATAATTAAAATTTCCAAAAGACATGTACAATTAAAATAAATTATGCTTCTCTCTAATTAATTAAAAACTGAATTTGTTTAAAATATCGAAATATAAATTTAAACTATATAATACTCACTTGTTGCAAAATTTGTCTACGCTGAAATAAGACACTACATCAACTTCTGTATATATTAAATCTATTGAACAGTTCCTTATGTTATAATCGAGATGCGTAATAGTTTTGTTGGATCCGCTTTATTACCCCTGGTACATGTACAATTGTAACACAAGTTTAACTTGGAATCTTGTTAATGGACTTTTGCGAGGACGCTGACTTTTACAGTTGACGGTTTACTTCGACATTTCAACCCGTGTCATGTATGGAGGTTCAGAATTGATAATAGATAAAACCTTTCTAGAGGTCATAGGTATGGTGTTAGGGGCATTAGCATGTAAAACTCGGTTATAGCGAAGTCTTGGGGACCTGTGAATTTAATTCGCTATATCCGTATAACGAATTCGTAAAACCATATATAGCGAAATCGCAATATGCATGTTTTTCCCTTTCAAGTATTACTACCAAATATATCAGGGAAGCGAATCCTATAAAACATACCTTCGATAACTAAGGTTTTATTATGAATTGAATTTTGTATACAAGTGCTAAAAAAAATAAAGTCAGTTTTAATTTATCAGATTTTGAGATCTTTGAAAATTCGTTATAAAAGATGTAAATTTCATTATATTTAACCTCAACGGAACTCAAAATCAGTTCGCTACATCCGTAAATTCGTTATATCAGAGTTCGTTACAACCGTAAAATGTTACAAAGATTTGTTAAGAATTTCTTTTTAACAGTCTGCCTCCATTTTTTGGTCATTCTTTCCTCCTTTTCCTCTGTTGGGTCCATCTTCGTGCAACTCTATTTAATGTATACTGTCCCATGTCAAAAACAATCTTTTCCAAAAATAAAAATAAAATCAGTGTTTGGACCCTGGACGCAGTGATAAAGATTTCCCATGTAAATCGTCCCTATACTTGATAAAACAGGAACAAAACTTTATTTTTAATAGATGTCACATGGAGAAGACATTTTATTTAAATTAATTGTTACAATATTATATATTGTTTTAAAAACTCTGTACCTTATTCGGCAAATTTTTTTCTGGGAGAAAACCAGAAAGGTATGAGTCTATAATTTTACAAACCAACATATCTAATTATTTGCATTAATATTCAATGTAATGATTCTTGTGTATAGAATTTTTTTTAAAACTATACTTGTCAAAATTTCTAAGTCCCAACCTTTATTTTCAATTTACTAGCTGCTTACAAATTTGCCTTTAATTTGCCATACTTACCGGTCAAGGCCAAAAAAATTGTAATCGAACGTGTAATTTCTCGACCGTGACCGTTTTTTTTTTTTTGTTAAAAAGCATGAAGTTTGAGTTCCATATGTTTTTCGGGTGTATTCTTCAGATTTTTTACTTCCATGTGTTCTCCATCTTTAATTGATAACGAAAAACAGAAAAAACTAGAATAAAATGCAGTATATGTCCACACAACAATGTGCAAGTGAACTTGAAATGGTCCAGGCTTGTCGTAGTTAACAAAAGTTCTGTTTCCTTTCACTGTATGACTTTATTTTACTTAAAACCTTTATAATCCTACAAAGCGTACCTGAATTAGATTTTCAACAAACACAACAAAATCATCCTAGAGTTTATCCGGAAAAATCAATGGAACCGGAACCGGAAGTGCCCTCCCCTCAATGTCAAACTGGAGGAGTGGGGAATACATGTAAGAAGACGTTATGTAACTATTGTTGACAAGGCACAGACAATTTCGATAAGCCCCCTTGTCATCCTAATCTCAACCCTTATTAGCATGTATGGAAGAAGATAGACTGGAGTGTGACAGTTTCTCCAGCAGCAGAATCTAGCGGAACTAGAGGACGACCTAGTCTCCAAATGGAAAAACATTCAATAAAAGAATTTTTCTTAGATAGTGTGAACTCTTTGAGGAACGGTTGTCTTGCTGTGAATTCGTTTGAATGGAGAATTATGCAGTATTAAAGTTGTGAATTTTTAATTCTAGGGTGTCTGAACGTTTCTGCAGATTGTGTTAAAGCGCTTCAATAAAATAAATTATGTGAGAAAAATTGTTTTGCTACTTTATTATCCTGTATACTTATTAAATTATACTGTTAAAATAATTCAATATAAAAGCGGTGTAAAGCAAAAACCAGCCTGGGTACTTAGAAATTTGACTTGTATAAACAAAACAAATGGGTTTATAAAAACTTTATATATACAATCTATTTTACTGTTACGTATAAATTGTATATTGAATCATTGAAGGGCTGTAAAACAAACTAATATTTATGTCTCGAGAGTTTTGGAACTTTTAAATGGTTTTATAGTTCACACAACATGGTTTCTACAAAGGAAAAATGGCGATAGAGGGGTGTGTGTACGAGGTATTTTCCATATCCTCTCAAGAACGACATAAAATAGGAAGACAATAACATATTCAAGAAATACAGAATTTCTCTATATTGAAATCATATTGCATATTTTCATATTTAATCTATACCCAAATGAATACCTTCAACTCACTAACTTTTGTGGGAGCAATTTTTTGTGTCTTGAGCGAAAACTTTTATTTCTGGGGATTTAATTTCGCGGATAAGCGGAGTGATATTTTTTTTAACAAATGTCTGAAATTTTACATGTTGTAGGGGGATATGAATTCGTAAATCTTTTCTAACCATGAAATCAACAAAACGTTATCCCCTGCGCTAGCGCATCATGGAAAATATGCCAGCAGAGCTATTGCTATTCATAATGCCATGTTCACTGAATAATCGTTGTTTATTACTTATATTTGCATTCTTTGATGTTGTCAAGAATATCAGAAGAAATCCTGGCTTACATAAGGTTGCAGCTTGCTGTCTTCAGTAAATAAAAACTCACAGCTATAAAATCAGTATACCTGATCATTGTACCTTTTTTCTTATAACTCACACACAATTTATAAAGTATTTGCCTTTTAAACACAGTTATCTGGATACAAGCTACGCCGTCGACACATTCTCTTAAATTTTGTTTTCATGCAGTTGTGACGTCATCGATCAAAGTTATTGAAACCCTACGACAAAAATCAATAATTTAACACTACAGATGAAAAAAGGCAAAGCTGTAATACAGATTATAACTCCAGAATGCTTTATATATGATTTTTGTAGTGCTTATATTTATTTTGGAGCGGAAATCCTTCTTGAAATAGATATACTGTTAAAGAAATGTTGCTTTTTTAAATGTTAAAACGCCCAAGCGTGAAGAGTATCGTTCTTTGTAGAAATATGCGAAAATATGATAAGATAAAATAAAAATATGGCAGTTCTCTTCAATTTTTAAAAACTTTTATTATACAAATAAAAACATTGACCAAAGTAATTTTTTTCAAGATGTAAATCAGCAATTTTAAATTATTCTGAATTTCTTATTTTCGAAAGAATATTATTAAAAACTTATATTTATTCCTTTTGCAAAACATTTCATATATACACTTCTCAGAACACTACGTAAGTGTAGTAGAGCTTGTACTACACGAGCGTGAATAGCAATTGCAATCATAGCAGAAGCAGTTGTGTCGATAGTCCTATGACTGCATGTTCATAGTGGGAGAAAGCAGTGGATATGCAAATTTATTACATTTTTAACCGTGAAATACTGTAATTTATTCATTGAATAAAAATGATGTCCTGTCACAGTGTGAAAGGATATCAAAATGGTATACTGTCACAGTGGGACGAATATCAAAAGTGCGGGAAAACTCTCGATTTCCCTACGAATAACGAAGATTGTTGTAAAAAAATCTTCCTTGAACTAATATTAGATGGATTGAAATAAATAAACCATTTCGACAGGGAATTAAACTGTCAAAATTACGAAAAATATGTTGCTCAATCCATGTTTACAGTGTTTTCACCTCACAACCTCATATTCAAAGGTTATAGGGTAAAACCGGTTTTATAAGTAAAATTGGCAGTAAACAGGGAATTACTATAGTCTGTTTCTTTTGATAACATGTCCTGTAAAAAAATGTGTTTCGAGACCTTTCTGAAAGACTTACATGATTTTCAACAGAAAAGGGTGGCTAAAGAGGGGGGGGTAAAATAACAATATACTTTATCTTTGCTTTTTTGATAATTTACAGCGAAAATTAGAGCTCACTTGCGACCGATACGGAGGTAAAAAATGTGTAATTTCATATACACTGACAAACCTTTGTTTGCCTTATATGGCTATTGATATTGATGCGCACAGAGAATCATACCACGAGCAACTGACCAATCGTTGAACGAATAGCAACGTTTACACCAAATGCATGTTAACAATATTTTACTTCAAACACGTGGCTCAGGTCAATCTATGATCATGTCAATGGAGTGCAAAATAAAAAAAATGTTCTTGTGAACATAATACAAAGATATAAAAACTATGAAAGATTTTTTAATTTTGTTGCTAACTAGAAAAAATATGTTTAACTAGAAACTCTTGTTGCTACAGCAACAAAAACGGTCTTCCGTTCTCCTCTATATATCTGTATGAATGAGCTTTTATGTTTGTTAAAAAAAAGCATATAATATTTACAATGATTACAGGAAAACAAACGCCCGGAGGTGTAACTTACCATGATTCTCGACGTTACTTTATACAATTATAGTCTTAATAACATTTATAAAAAACATTTTCAATTTTTATGACTTCTTGTGACGACCGGAAGTGATGACGGCGGACGCATTTTACCTTATATCTGTTGCCAAATCTTCATGGTTTATTATTCATATAAATTTAGTGTCTTGATCCGTTACAGTTTAAGAGATTTCGTAATGTTAACTTCTCATTTTGAGGACAAGAAATCACGTTACCGGAAGTAAATTTCAAAATAAGATATTTGAGGTTTCTTTAGACATTTGCAGTTTGAATAACATGTCCTAAATCATTTCAAATGCTCATTTTATAAAAGATATATTTATGGGATACTATGATACTAAATTTCTGCAGTTTTTCTCTCATAACCGGAAGTTTTCATCTCTTACTGTTTCCGAGATCTAGCTATGATAACTTCTCATTTTCAGGACAGGAAATCGTGCGACCGGAAGTAAATTTGACATGGATATTTGACGTAACTCTAGACATGACCAGTCTGAATAATATATCTAAAAATCTGACATTTCAAATACTCCATCTATAACAGATATTTATGGGAGAGTAAAATACTCGATTTACGTGGTTTTTCTCTTATAACCGGAAATTGCCGTTTTGTTTCCGATGGGACTGACATATTTCGAAACTGCAAAGAAAACGCAATAATGTGATGACAAAAAAGATTTCTTTGATCACTTCCTGTGACAACCGGAAGTGACGGCGGACGATGTTAACCCAAAAATGGATTTGCCTACTCATCAAGATCTACCACTTGTATAAGTTTAGTGTCTTAATCTCTTACCGTTTACGAGATCTAGCTATGATAACTTCTCATTTTGAGGACAGGAAATCACGCGACCGGAAGTGAATTTAACAAAAATATTTGACGTTACTGTAGACATTTGCAGTCTCAATAACACGTCTAAAATTCATGACAAATACTTTATGTATAAAAAATATTTATGGGAAAGAAAAATGCTGAAAATATGCAGTTTTTCTCTTATAACCGGAAGTTGTCGTTTTTGTTTCCGTTGGGACTGACATATTTCGAAACTACAAATTAGATGCTATAATGTGATGCAAAAAAGTTTCAAAAAAGAAAAAGTAGAAATTTTCGATTGTTTTGATCACTTCCTGTGACGACCGGAAGTGACGGCGGACATTGTTAAAACAATTGGTTTTGCCTACTTATCAAGATCTATTACTCATATAAGTTTGGTGTCTTCATCTCTTACCGTTTCTGAGATATGAGAAATCGGACAAATCTGACGACCGGAAGTGAATTTTGAAAAACTGAAAACTGCATTTGAAAGATATTTTTACTCTCTATCATCTATGAAAATTTCGTGAGAATCTGTCAATTCATCTCTGAGAAATCGTCAAAAAAAGAAAAGGGGGAAAGGGAAAAAAAATAAAAAGAAACAGTAGAATCACTATAAGGTCTTCCATCTGAAACGGAAGAGCTTAATAAAATGTAATTTTTTGTCAAGTTCACTACGGAATACCAGCGATTCAAGGGTAAAGAAAATTTAAATGGACAAAACAATTTTTACATAACTGTACTTGTGATCACGTGTTTTGGCCAGGGAATCCATGCACCTGACAATTGTATTCACCGATAGGACAACAAAGGAATTAATACAGAGCAAATCGCTTTGCAGTATGACTTTTAGAAACTTAGACTTCCAAGTTTATTTAACAAATGAATATTTTGTCATTGTGAGCATGAAGATACTAGTAATAGAATTTTAAAAAATGCTTTACATACACGAAATGGAATGGAAAATGGTCTTTGTGCCTTTCCGATCGCCATATAAGAGTTTCCTGTTTTTTCAAACGTAAAATTTCTGTAGTATTCGTAGTAACCCATAATGCAATTCTCATTCAGCTGATTTGTCAGTTAAAGTCATGTTGGTGCCTCACTTGCTAATCTGACGTCACAAAATATAGTACCGGTTCCCATGCAAAAATTTGTACCGGTATATAAAGAAACTCATATTCATTACTGCAGAAAATTGTATTATAAAGAATACTTATTTAAGTTTGAATGAATTCAAGGGAGATCGATTGAAGTACATTTCTACAGATATAACAGGGCGTTGAAACTGATACGCAACATTACTTTTCTGTTTACCATGTCTCAACGTGCTAGTCATTTCCTAGCCACATTTCCGTGAATAATTTACCCTATCTCGCTGTAGTCTCGCTAATTCTCGCCAGAGCCACTGCCCGAGCTACTCTGAACTCCTCGGGTTTTATAATATGCAGAACACCGAAAAATAAAATGTTCCGAACACATTAGTAGGGGTGAAGTGGGAGTATAATAAATATCGATCGAGGCATGTGCCAGAAGATTTCTTGAATATCAATAGATAATCAGGGTCAGGCGTTTTTCATCGTCTGAATACATAGTCAGTACATTTTTGTCGGCTGTTAAGCATGGGATGACAGCACGTGCTGAATATTATTGATTATGTAAATTTCAGTTTTTTGTTCCCCTACTCTTACAATTAAGTAACAAATCTAAGCATGCTAAGTGACGTTATTTAGGTGCGGCGACGTCTATAAACGCATTTTTGATAAACAGTAATCCGATAATTTTGAAAGTATGCATTAGATTAAATTGAATTTTTCGAGTCTGAATCGAAATGAATATAGCTTTCAACATTTATAATTTTGTTGTTTAACGTCAATTTTTATCAATTTTATTAACACTGGGTGAAAAAAGTGGTTTCCCATCATGGGAAACTTTAAGGAAACCACATGGAAACCTCAAGTTTACATCATGTTTCCCAGTGGTTTCCGCAGCGGATGCCAGGTTATTCAGCCAAGTTTCCGTGACACGGAACCCCCCTAGGCTCCGATTCCATAAGGTATCCCGAACCACGGAAACCTCTGTAAACCTGAAGTTTCCCGAACATCCATATAGTTTCCCGTAATGGGAAACCTAAAAATTCCACTGGTTTCCAGAATCAGGAAACTTGATGGAATCAGAGCGTAGGGGGTTTCCGTGGAATGGAAACTTGGTGGAATCTCTAGGTTTCCTTTTACGGGAAACTATATGGAAGCTCGGGAAACCTCACCATTCCTATAGTTTCCGTGACTCAGGAAACCATATGGAATCGGAGCGTAGTGGTTTCCTTGGGATGGAAACTTGATGGAATCTTAAGGTTTCCTTTTTAAGGAAACTACATGGAAGCTTGGGAAACCTCATGATTCCTAAAGTTTCCGTGACTCAGGAAACCATATGGAATCGGAGCATAGTGGTTTCCGTTGGATGGAAACTTGGTGGAATCTTAAGGTTTCCTATTACGGGAAACTACATGGAACCTTGTGAAACCTTATGATTCCTAAAGTTTCCTTGACTCAGGAAACTATATGGAACTTGTGTAGCAGTTTCTGTGTGGCGGAAACTTGGTGGAATTATCTGGAGTCCCATTCCTGGTTGAAGTTACTGGGAAACTTCAAGATTCCCCAACTTTTCTTAAGGAAGCGATGTGAAATTATGTGTATTCTTTCAAAAATCTATCAAAAAAATTATTAAATGTAAGAGAAAAAAAGCATTACCATTTTGTGACATTACATTTGGATCAACACTCATGTCTTTGATTCCTTAATTTAATTATTTAATTCTGATAAGACAAAATGCATAGTTTACTTTCTTAAACGTAACGTTTTGTGGAAAACAAAATCTTCAAATTGGTTTCCAAACCACATTTCGAATTAATTTCCAGTATACATTCCAAATGGAGTATTACTACAGGAACAAGCCCCACAAAGGAGGTTGTAGAAACCACAAAAGGAGAGAAAGCAAAAGGTAGTGCGACCTAGTCAATCTTGGCAACACAAGCAGCAACATTACAAGCACAGCAGCAACGATCACTGCAGCTGTGTGACCCACAGCAATTAATATGTATTTGAATTTGAATTTATATTTTAAAAAACCAGATTAATACTGAATAGATGAATGTCTATATGTGTTAATTATCGTAAATCGCGGAGTTCGAGTTGGTTGTTCCTCAGGTCCCGGGTTCAAACTCCAAAGCGGGATGAGGAGATCGGTCCTTAATTCAGGTGAGACCGTATACACAAGCCGCAATATACGTATGTTCTTGCATGAAAAATGTCCATTACTTCTGAATGGCTTTTTGTGTCAAAATTAGTTCCAAATTTGCAGCCATTTATCACCAAGTGGTTGCGTTTCCGTATGAGTAAAATTATCCGGTATTGGGAGAGATGTTAAGAGGAGAAACCAAAAAAAAAAAAAAAATACGAAAAACCCCAAACGATTGAATCTAAAATATCTTGAAGTTTAATGATTTTCAACATTTGATAAATCTTGAAAGAGAGATCCAGTTTTGAAGATATCAAAGTAATTAAAGGAAGTCCTCTTCATATGAGATACCAGAGGTATTCCGTTTATAGACATGTTTAAAAGTAATTATCATTTTCGGCATCTGTATGATTACAAAGTATAATAAATGACACTAACAACAAAAATGGTACACTGCGCTAAAAAAAACTGTCTGTACAATGTACATGTAATCGAAAGTTTGAGTGGTAATCACTTTTCCGTTTCATGTACATTTTAAAATTTATAGCCTCGGGCCTTCAAGAATTCTACAGTTGCATCTCTTCCACACTAAAATGAAGGAAGAAACAAAATGCTTGAACAAAATGAAAAAGAGATAGACAATAAAATTTATACAAATATATTTCAAGTCTTCAAAAGGGTATAGTACCTGTACTAAAAGTTTTTTGTCACCGTCTTCCAGGTCAAAGTCTAGACCTGTGATGTATTTTGTGTTTATTCCGACTGTCCTTGGAATATCTGTTTTCTATATCACAAAATTCAGAACAAGAAGGTTAGAAGACATCTAGAAATTATGGAATAGAATACTTCCACCAAAGGACTTCTAACCTAAAGTCTAAACTTCGATATGAATTCTGAACACGGTAACTATTGAGAAATAATATTACATTCATATATACTTGAAATTGAAATAAATTAATTCAAAATAACACATTTCATAAAAAAAGAATAAAATCCATCTTAAAATAAATATTCCTTCACCCAATAAAACAGCTATAAAATGAAATGATACGATCTGGGATGCTTTATTGTACCTTCATATAGATTCTGCTTGAATTCAGCATCATTGTTTTGAGTACGGAGCCTAAGAAATCTGTTGGTGTTTCCGAAAGTTTGTAAGAGAATCCACTATACCACTGATCTACACTGTAGCCGGTGTTCCTTGTGATGAAGCGACTTATGTCTGAAAATTCTATCTAAAATAAAACATTTTTTAAAAAATAAATTGTACTTATCATATAGTACATTTGGGAAATAAGAAATTTGATCATGGGGAGTTGGGCACAGGTCAGGGAGAAGCATGATAAACATAACAAACCAGCTTAATCCGCAATGTGTATATATTGAGTAGTGGTCAGCAAAACAAAAGGGAAAGACATGCTACATTTATTTTGTTTTGACTGAACCTTTTATTTGTTTCCTCTCGGTAGAAAATAAGAACTTAATGTACATGTGAGTTTTAAGTCCCTCTCTCTATCTATCTGTCAGCCAGTCTCCACGTCCCATACAAGTAGGAAAGCGGCCTGCTTTTACACTACTTCCAGAATAATTTTTAGGTTTTTTTAATTAGCTTTCACAAGTATACAGGGCAAACTTGATGTGTATATATAAATATGTATACAATTAAATTATGTAAATTCTTAGAATAACAACTAAATATTCCAGCATATTTCATCATAAAAATAGATACATTTTTTCATAATGCATCACAGATTTTTTTTTGCAACGGCCTTTCATATTCCATATATATATATATATATATATATATATATATATATATATATATATATATATATATATATATATATATATATATATATATATATATATATATATATATATATATATATATATATATATACATCACAGATATCCCACATATCTTATGCTCTGTGTTAAGGGATGCCATACTTGTGTTGACTTCTGTCTCCCCTGCCTTATATAAATCCTCAAAAACGTCAATGTCTGTTGACCTTTGAAACTAAACCAGAATATACCACAAGGAGAAATTACAAGTAAGTTTTACCATATACCATTTCTTGTTTGATTGTTTTATTTGTTAACATATTCTATATGTATATTAAACAATGGCAGTTCAAACTCTGTACACCTGAAGGATGGACATTATGAAATCCAGAAAGGACAACCCATTACCTGTTGAATGAAATTTGCTCTGAAATATATTTCTGTATATAGCACCAACCAGACTTTCCAGCCCTGTTACAGGCCGCAGCTACAAAATACTTTTGTTTCTAGACAACTGCATTTTCTCATCAGTTGCAAAGTTTGCAACAATATTTCAAAATGGGAGAGTCATTTGAAAAAAAAACTTGTTTAACATTTCAACCTTGATTATATGTTATTTAATATTTATGAAACAAGATGGACAGATGCTCAAGATAAAGCAAAGAAAAGTTCTAGATGCACAGATTGAAGTCATTCCGCCCTAATGGTATTAACAAAGTGAATGACTTCACCAGATGAACGTAAACTCCCAATGGACTGTGATACTAAATTATTCTCTCAATTTAGTGTAAACTCTACAGTTAATTTGTCACCAACTCTCGAACATACATTGAAATTTATTGTTACGCCTTTGTTAATTATTTTTTCGTAATAAATCCTTAAATATTTCAAAATTTATAATGGATCATAATTCATGTGTTTAAATATCCCTGCTATATTATTTTTCTTTGATTATTCTTTATTTAGTAAAGTTACGTATTTTGAGAGAAAAAACAATGTACATTTACTGATTGTCGTAAAATTAGCATAATTAATTCGTTCAATTATGTAAATCGCACTTCAGCTATACCCGATTTAGCCATTAATTTCATAGCGTTGTATTTTTTATTAGTGTTCTTAAAAATTTCCAATTCAACATGTATATATATGTAAATATCTAGTGTTTAGTAGTTTAGAGTAGTGCTATTGTTTTTGTTTCTCTTTTTCCTTTGTTCTTATGACTTTTTAACTTTTTTCTTTGTCCTGAGGAAGGGACAGGGCGTCCGAAAATTTGACACACATTGTTCGTGTCGTTGGTCATTTTTAGTGCTTTATATATATATATATATATATATATATATATATATATATATATATATATATATATATATATATATATATATATATATATATATATAATAATCCATTATTTGGAAAAGATGTCACATTTTATTCAAAAGCGCTTTCGCCATTCGGCTCTTCAGTGGATTTTTCAATAGCAACACGACTGATAACATTATGACGTTTATTAAAGGACAACGTTTTTGGCGCAAAAAATGTCCGTTTAAATAGACTTGACACTGTAAATGATACATATTTACACAATAATAATCAATAATTAATAAATTTTAAAAAACAATAGTAACAGTCATTGATTAAATCAGAACATTTATCTGTTTAGTTTAGGCTTAAATTTATCAATGAAATATTGTTCTTTGGCCCGCCGTAACTGTTCATTTTCCTCAGTAACTTTATAAAGCGGAAAGATACTTAAACGTCCTTTACCGCATTGTTCAAAATGTTGGCTGCACGGAGTATTTCTTACGGAAGGGTCCCTTATCTGCTGTTTGTGTACTCTAACACGGTCGGATATTTTATGTTTGAAATGTAATTTTCTGCAAATTAAAAATGCAATATATGACGTTCTTGGTTTTGCAGTTCATATTATGTTGAACTTTAAAATCTATTCCTGTTTTGAATGTGAATGATTCTCCGATTTGTATAAAATATATATTTACAACTTTGTAATAGCAAAACATTGTCTATTAAAATTTTGTCTGTGATCCTCTTTATCAGAATATCAGTATATTAGAATACAAATGTTGGTTCACTTTTGTATTTGATAGAAAAAATAAATTATTTCACAATGAGTATTATCAACAGAATGAAGTTTTTTTTATTACTGTAAATCATAGATACCTTTCCACATTTTCTCTGTGTTAAGTATGTCCATACTTGTGTTGGACTTCTGTCTCCGAATAAATCCTCAAAAACGTCTGTCTGTTGACCTTTAAACTAAACCAGAATATACCAATAGAGCAATTGTCAAGTAAGTTTTACTTTTTGATTTCTTGTTTGATTGTTTTATTTGTTAACATATTCTATATGTATATTAAACAATCGGTTCAAACTCTGTACACCTGAATATGGATTATGAAATCCAGAAAGCGCTTGTGTTGAATGAAATTTGGAAATTTATTTATATACACAACCAACCCTTTCCAGTTCGTCGACGAAGTCTTTCATTTCTAGCTTGTTTTCTCTATTCCTAGCAGCAACAAACTTCAAAATACATCATTTGAAAAAAAAATTGTTTAATTTATTTGATTATATGTTATTTAATATTTATGAAACATGCACAAGATATTTCAACAGCTAGAACAGCTTGAATATTTTGTTTTTTCCGAGAATCTTTTTGCAGTTTGTTTTATGTGTGATTCACGTCATGATCATATGACGTCTGATATGTTTAAGTACCGTTAACTAAGACTCATTGTACCTTCAGAAATGTGATTAAATTTTTGTTTTCACTGTCACTAGTGGCTTCGTTCAAGGCCAAGAATTTTCTAAAAATGAAAATAAAACGAGTGTATTTTATTTACTACTCACAGTACTAATAAATATGTATATCATGAAATACACACTTTTACATATTGAAAATATTTTGATTTTGCATTCCGAATCTGGTACCTTTTCAGCTTTGTGTTTATGTCTCTGAAAACTTGATCGGTTGTATCCGTTTTTTTGATTTCCAATTCAGTATGCTGCTCTGTTGCAGAGGAATCCTTAGAGGATCCGTCTACTTTATCTGTTTCTGGAATGTATTGTTTAGGAGACTGTTCCAATACAGAGAATCCCTCAGAGTTTCCGTCTACTATATCTGTTTCTGGAATGTATTGTTTAGGAGACTGTTCCAATACAGAGAATCCCTCAGAGTTTCCGTCTACTATATCTGTTTCTGGAATGAATTGTTTAGGAGACTGTTCCAATACAGAGAATCCCTCAGAGTGTCCGTTTAATGAGTCCGTTTCTGGAATGTCCAGTTTAGGGGGTTGCTCTGTTACAGGTGTTAGTTTATTAATCCCATCCTCTCCATGATAATGTCTTCGATATAACCTACTTTCTTTATCGGCGAACTAAAAAAAAAACAACATAGTCTCTGATCTCTAATGTAATTGTTTTATTTTCAAGTCTTATAGTTGTATACAACATTTAAATGACTACTAGTACCCCGTGACTACCAGTAAGTAGTTAGTGTAAAAAAAAAAACAACAAATTGAATTTAATCAAACCAACTGGAATTTTTATTGTATTCTGTAATATTGAAAGATAAAACAATAAACAACAACAATAACAAAGACGTCATGTTAGCGCACGTTTTTCCGTAAATATTTGAACGTGTGAATTTAAACAAAAATGGTATTCAAATAAGTTTCACTGTTGGCTTACTAGAATAATACGGTAGATTTGATCACGTACCGATTTTATGTCATGCCCCAAAGAAACTCTTAAAATGATATTTTATTTCTTATATTTATATTTAACTTTTTTATTCACGTTGCAAAGAAATATATGGTTAGGATTTTGAAATACTTCTCCGTCCACAATGTCATATGATTCAAGGAACTGATTGCTCGTGTAGTTTGCTTTCCATACACAAGAAAGTATGATCATGTGACCAACTGCATGTCATTGCATTTCAATTTTAATAGCATTGGTATATAAGGAAAGACAGCAAATGTAAATATTGGTCTCTCTCTCACTCAGTACTCTCTCTCTCTCTATGCATATATATATATATATATATATAAATATATATATATATATATATATATATATATATATATATATATATATATATATATATATATATATATATATATATATATATTTGCAGAAATATAGGATTCACACTGAACTTAAAACATTCCTTATATTTACATTTTACATTTATTAAGGATGTACAACACATACAAAAAAATTCCTGTTTAATTTTCGTTATTTTTGTATATTTAGTACGTATATCATATGACGTCATTTTGGACAAAATCAGTGGTTTTTGGAACTTTCCAAAGTTGTTTACAAGGAGAGAAAAATTTTAATGCTTTCCATATTTTCAAAAGAGCTGATATAAATGTCAAATTTCATTGACCTTTAACCATTTAACACAAAAAACATAGTCACCTTTTTGTGTACATTCAAAATTTTTTAAAGACCTAATTATTAATTATTGAAAATTGCGTATTTTTCATAAAATTTTTTTGTGAAAAAACCTGTCGTTTAATTTTGATAAATTTCTTTAGGTAAATATAGTAAAAACAATCTTCATAATTTTTTGTATCACACAGACTTAATACGAAAAACCCCCTGCCCCTCTCTCATATATGCCTACGTGCAAATCTGTGTGATTCACACACCAATAATTCACACTGACCTTAAAAAATTCCATATATTTACATTTTCCATTTCTTATTTGCAGGATTGTTTCAAATTAAATGCATAGTTCTGAATTTATTTAGTAAATATCTATCAAAAATATTGAATTACAATCACAACAGACGCACTATTTGATCATTTCTACGCGAGCCATACGACAGAGGTGAATGTTGCAATTTCACTGTTGACTAACTAGAAAAACACAGCAAATGTAAATATTAAACATTTATTACATGATAGTGAGGGAAATATGAAAACTTATTCAGCCAAGATGTTTCCCGAACATTCATGCAATGAATTTTTTATTACACCGAAACAAGCAAATCCTTTGTAATAAACATAAACTTTCAAACTCGGCACCGCTCTCAAATTCACTTTCATTATTTTATGTAAAGTTACTATAAAACCTTTATGTCAACACATTATCATCAATTTTGTGACGTAAACCAGTCTATTGTGACGCCTACTACTTGTGGGAAACAGCAAATGTAAAAATATTAAGAGGTGGAATATGATAAAAACGTGCCGAAATGAAATATGTTTTACGGCCCGATCACGTGATAACCTAGAACCAATCAGATAACGCGTTGTGTAAATTTTTAATGTATTGATTATATAAGAATGCAACATAACTTACCAATACAAAACCCAAAGTTTTTAATAAATCTTCATCATTTTCAGGTTTAAATCTACTCTCATATATTTCGGGCATTCTATCAATGTCGTTCAACTTCGTGAAAAAAGAATCTTCTGGTTTCATTGAAAGCCACCATCCTGCAGATTTTAAGACATTTAGGAAAATCAGTGTTGTAATTACGGTACTTGTACATGCATTTATGAATAAGACCGTGCATATTGGAACCCTTTACGTTGGGTAAAATATCAGTACCATCAAAGCAGCTAATTGGGTAATTACACAGGACTCCCCCGTCAACATAAACCGCATTTCTACCAGAATTGGCATTCATCAATTTGATGTTCTCAAAATACACTGAAATTTATAAACAAAAAAATTAAATGCATTTCAGAACTTTCTAATACTAGTGATTTAAAAAATAATATATTATTAACCGTACAAATACTTAGGTAAACATTTTTTCAAATAAGGATTAGTCCCATTTTTTTTTTTTGCAATACCTGCTCAAATGGGCAATTCATATTGAACATTTGTTATTTCTGCTGTGTATTATATAAATATTGCATGTAGTTGAGTGTAACGTTGAAAATTTTTCACCCCAAGAAAACCATTGTCAACCGAGGCGCAGCCGAGGTTGATAATGGTTTTCTTGGGGTGAAAATTTTCAATGTTACACTTAACTACACGCAATATTTATAATATTATACTGAATGTTTTATACAAATATATATAACAGTGATCCCTGTGGCAAATTTTGCACAGTCGCTATTTTTTCAGGAATATCGTGTCGTCAAGCACTGTTGACTTTTGCTACAATGGAGGGCGTGGCTTCATTATTCAGCGGGTAATAGTGTTTTTTAACAAATATTTCTCGACCAATCAGATTCAACTAATTTACATGAAAGTTTAATATATCTTATTGTTATATTGTAATGTTTGAATTTAACGAGTACCCGTGGTAGTTAATACAAAAATTACAATAGCACAATATGTATTTTCATGATTGGAATTATATTTGGTATTTTCAATAATAAAGGCTCCTCTCTGTGTTTTCTTTGCCATCTATAGATCTGTTTGGCAAAATGCACAGCAAAGTAGACTCATGACTACAAAGGGTACCTTTATCAAATTAGCAAGTATATATAGCAAATGAATTTTTCTTTCTAAGAGCTTTAATTTAGAAATGCATTAAGGAATGTAAAAATATTTCAGAAGAAAATAATTCTGCTGTTTATTTCAGTGCACTTCAAGAATCTGATTGAAGCTAGTGAAATACCTGGAATGGATATAGAAATTCGGACAGCTTGTCTTATCTCCATATCTGGTGTTGTTTTCACGTGACAATATTCGTCTATATGTGTGCTAATGTTGGTCACAACTATGCACAATTCATTACAATTTTTCTCATATAACTGTCGAAAAATTTGGTAAAAGGTTAATCGAACTTAAAAGATTAAAATAAATTACACTTTGAAATCAGTTGATATCGTGTACTTATACTGTTTAGATACATTTATCACAAATATATGAAAGTATATGAAAATGTCATATAGATTACCTCTTTGAACGTCACTGTTTTGGGGAAACCAAGTATTTCAAACTGGGTTCCAATCCACTTAAGGAATTTATTTCCAGTATACATTCCAAAAGAGGGTTCTCTACAGGAACAAGCCCCACAGAGGAGGTTGCAGAAGCCACAAAAGGAGAGAAAGCACGAGGTAGTGCGACCCATACAATCTTGGCAACACGAGCAGCAACAAGTACAAGCACAACAGCATCGATCATTGCAGCTACATGACCCACAACAATAATCTGAGTTGAAATATAAATAATTTTAGATATACATGTAATCTAAAGGTACTGTGAGTACTGAGTTCACTAAATGATGACCAATGCCTCCCATATTATTAAAATGGCATGTTTTGGTCTGAGAGACACAAAATAAGTCTCAAATCAAAAAGTAAAAATAGGATGAACATAATGGAATGATGTAATAAAGAATTTAAGGAAGTATCATTAAATTCAGAATTATAGGAGGAGTTGGGGATGGGAGATGGGTACTGTTCAATGTTACAGAGAGAAATGCAGTGTCCATATGTTGCTATTGGAAACCCGAAAAATGCGTTCGATCAAAACGTAAAATAAGAGGTGCATAATGATGCTATGTAAAGATTCTGTGAAAGTCTCATTAAATGTCATTTAGCGGTAAGACGGGAGTTGCGGATAAGAGATTGGTACCACAAAGCGTAACAGACGGACGTACATGTACGGACAGACATCCTGATCACTATATTCCCTCCTACTTTTTGAGCGAGGGTGTATAATAATAATGTTTTATGTAAGAGAAGAAATCTTTCTTTAAAAGTTTTCTTTAAAATGAGCATCATAATGCATCAAAATGCAACATAAAGTAATATTGTTAAATCATTGTGAGAGCATGAAATTTACATTCAATGTACGTCCATGTATTTGCATGCATGTTTAGAATAATCCCAGGATTGAGAGATGTTGTTTTGCTTTATGAGTAAAATCACGGAGTGTAAATTAGTTTAGGGAGTTCCTTGGATCAGTCAGCATAAGATATCAAAATAGACATTAATCAGAATTCTTTGGCATTACACTTTCTTCGAGCCCTGCAATATAATGCATAAATTGGCGTATTCAAAATTTGGCCCAAAAATTGTGTATTGATTTGTTGGTGAATTTATAAATTAGCGCTTCACACTTCCCCGCTGTATATGGTATCATAGATCAAAAGCAAAAATTCAGGTCTATGGATGTAATAATATTTGATTTCCTAGCGGTATTCATGAAATAGGGCATAAACGTCCGCACCAAACCCGCTAAAATATGAATCCTGCTTTGTAAAGAACACACAAGTATCTGTAAAATAATTATGTATTTAAAAAAAAATACAGAAAATCAAGTATAAAGTATTAAGTATGAAGAAGTAAAATTTATTCTGCTTGTGTTATTGCAAACAATGCAACCCAACAAGCTCCAAAACATGTTTTGAAAAATAAATAGCTTGTAAATTTTTGGAAAAAAAATGAGTGTACTCATTTAAGAAGGGATATATCAAAGAATACGATAAATCTTCTCTTGTACAGTTTGGTTACGGAGCTATAAAAATAGGTTTGACAATACAATGTAAGCAATAAGACTACCTTTTAGTATGTACTCCATATTGGTATCCAGGATTTGTTCGATGTTTGAGACCGTGGAATTCATAGCAAGAAATGCTGCGACAAGAGAACCAACGCTAGTTCCAGCAAATCTTTTCACATTGGACAATATTTCAACTTGTTCCAGTATCTGTTGAATAAATAATATATAAATAATTTGGGGTTGGGCCATCTTTAAATAATGTTTGCTTGCCCTCTCCCGACTCAGGGTAAAATAATTGGGTCGGTAGGTAGGTAGGAAAATCCTTTTATTTTTAAAAATTTCAACATATTTGTTGACGGGATAAAAGAAGTACAAAAAAAAAATTTCTGTCCTTGCATGTTAAAAAGAATTTAGAGTCGGGCAATTTTTGCCAGTCGGTCAATCAAACAAATCAAACAATTTTTTTTAAAGATGCCCTTGTAAAAAAACTATTGGCAACAGGCGGAACCTCGTTGTTACCCTCCACAACATGGAGTATTTATTATATAATTAGGATCTGACATGATTTGTGGTTGGATATGATTATTATCTAACGAGTTGTGTGTTTTATATCCCGAGCCTTGGCGAGAGGATAAAAACACACAAGCTGGATAAAAATCATATCCAACTACAAATCATGTGAGATTCTTGTTATCCCAGGTTTTACATTTGTTTTATACAGTACACACAATGTTTTAGACTGTTTTTATATAGGACTCTATTTGACTTCATTACGCTAACGCAAAATCCATTGTGACGGGATTCAAAAACGATATCACATGAGCTATATCCACGGGATAAAGGGGTAAACATTTTATCCCATGTTTAACCCTTTATCCCGTTGATATAGCTCATGTGATATTGTTTTTATATCACACAGTTGTGACGTCACAATGGATTTTGCGTTAGAGTGATGAAGTAAAATGAAATAGAGTCCTATATAAAAACAGTGTCAAACATTGTTCCTGGTGTAATAAACATGGGATAAAAAGAACCTCACATGATTTGTAGTTGGATATGATTTTTATCCAACTCGTTGTGTGTTTTTATTCCCTCGCCAAGGCTCGGGGATAAAATCCACACAACTCATTGGATAAAAATCATATCCAGCTACAAATCATGTGAGATCCTATATATACTGAATATTTTTTGGGTAAATACAAACAAAGATAGAGCGTTCGCGCAGTAATTTTTTCTAAATAACACGCATCATCAAGCAATGTTGACTGCTGCTACTTTCTATCAGTCTATAGGACATGGAAGGTAACAGTACATTTAAAATATACAAAAGTTAAGTAAATTTGACCGATTGTATGTTAATTGTTTTACGTCCCATGCGATAATTTTTTTCACTTATATAGAGACGTCAGCATATACGGGCGAAGTGCATCATATTAGTACGAAAGCCCAGAGGGCTCATTCGAGATTCGAGTTTCGAAATACAAGATTCGGAGTTCGAGATTCGAAATTCGAGTTTCGAGATTCAAGATCCAAATTAACCAATCAAAAGGTGGGTACAACATTTGATTACTCCCCTTTTTTATTTTATTTTTTTACTATCAAGAAATCGTTGAATATGTTTATACCGAAGAGGTCATTTGATTAAATTACAATGCAAGAAAGAATGTTATATATATAAGAACGACATTTAAAGAAATGTTGGATTTTTGGTCTCCAAGATATGCTTAAATTTAAATTAAAGCTTCTTAAATATTATGATAGATTTATATCAAGAATATATATATTTTGTATTATCTACTTTTTTTACAGGGTTGATGACGTAGTAATAAACATAATAAAAAACAAGTGACTAGAGATCAACTATACAGCCTTTCCCCATTTTTCCAAACATATTTTTTAACCTTATGTTCTTATTCGTGCCACTCAAACGAACATAAATAATTCATAAATATCATAATAGATTTATATCAAGAATATATATATTTTGTATTATCTACTTTGTTTACAGGTTTGATGACGTAGTAATAAACATAATAAAAAAAAAACAAGTGACTAAAGATCAACTATACAGCCTTTCCCAATTTTTCCAAACATATTTTTTAACCTTATGTTCTTATTCGTGCCACTCAAACGAACATAGATAATTCATAAAATAAACACAAGCACGTATATTAGGATGTGAAGCGCTCTGGTAGTGCAGTTTACTTAAAAAAATCATTACAAATACAATCATATCTTTTTTAATTGTCTTCCTTTCTACAAAACAAAACAAGACTTTTAAACATAAAATCTTTTTAAAACATGTAAAGCAAGGGCGAATGTATGGGGATTCAGTTATCTGCACTGAAAAGAGCCTTCGAATGGCTTTAGAATACTCTGTGCTAACAGCGGTTAGTTAAAACCCGTGCAATGAATATTTAAATGTCACCTGACAAGGTGACCAGCATTACAGCCAACAGATTACAGATATAGATAAACACGAACACGTGTTATTAGCAACATTGATAAATACATATTGAAAATGTTTATCGAAAGGTCGGTTGCCACCCTCCCCCCTTTTGGTGCTGTATATATAGTCAAAGAAGGGTACGTGGTAGTGTATGAAAAGAAATTAAGTACTGAAGAAGTTCGATCCTCCCTCCCCCCTCCACGGTCCGAAATAGGATTTTTGGATTTGGACCATTTTTCTTGTCTTTGTTTGTCAGGTTTTTTCAGGTTTGAAATATTTATCGCTTTCTGTCCCCCTTTCAAAATAGATTGCTATGTCTCTGTAATAATTAGTAATACGGGTTTCAAAGTAGATAAAGTTTGTGACACGGTATTAGAAAGTTGCCAGTGACCAAGTTTGTGAAACCAAGAGACAGCCCCTTAAATACGGATGGCTGAAACAAATGTGCTTAATATATTTAATGATTTCTGTTTGTTCAGGCCCATATAAATAAAGAATAGATTAAAAAAATCATTGTAAAGCCCCCGAAAAAACGGGCTTATTATGTTTATTGGACGTTATTTGAATGGATACAAGCATAAAGTTCTTATGTTTTCTATAGTTTATTATATCGGTAAAAATATTAGGGAAATTGGGCAAATGGGGGGGGGGGGGCACGGCCTCTGTGCCCAGGGTCCTATGACTATGTTGCTTATTTTATTTCAACGGTAGACAGATGTTCGGTTATCGACATTTGCGTTCGCTTCCCTAATACTAGTAGAGGAAATACATAAAAATTAAGTTTTCAATTACTTATCTTGGTCTAAAGAATTAATTCAAGTAAATACAATACAGACTGGAATTTATTTTATTCCCATATCAAATAGAAGACAAGTCTAACTTAGCTGCAAAACTGTAGCGTTGTGGTTTTATATTTCATCTCTGACCATAGTGTTATGGTCAAAGACTAAAATATACTAATGAAATCATAACGTTACAGTTCTGCAGTCAAATCTTACTGCACAAATATACTCTTGCATTACTGTGAAGTGTAGATACGGTCCTTAGTATTTCATATCAAAAATAATTTCCTCCCTCATTAATGTACTAATTAAAACAATTATCGACCTACTAATTCCACAATTCAATGATAGGACTATATATTATTCTATATATACGTATCTATTGTTCTGTTTAATTAGGAAAAAAAAGATTTTATAAATATTTTTCAAAATGTAACCCAAAATTCATTTTCATTTTGTTTTGATACATATTCCATTTTCTCTTGCATTATCATTTAAGCAAATGACACATTTGTTATAGATATATTCAACGATTTCTTGATAGTAAAAACATAATAAAGGGGGAGTAATAAAATGTTGAATACGCCTTTTGATTGGTTAATTTGGATCTTGAATCTCAAAACTCGAATTTCGAATCTCGAAACTCGAATCTCGCATTTCGAAAATTGAATCTCGAATGAGCCTTCTGGGCTTTCGTATATTTGGACCTCAATTACTCGGCACTTACAGCCATTGAGCAGTGAGTGATCTTTTCCGTGCCAACGTCCATTGTCTATCGGGGAATCGGTTTTTTAATGTCTCATCCGAAGGACGGGCAACGTTCACTTTAATGCGCCTAGTGCATGGCAAAGGAACAGTTGGAATCTCTTTTCATATGCAAACTCAGTCAAATCAAGTTCAGAGAAGTCTTTTTGTGATGTATTTTTAAAAAATAAATCGTATGGATTTGTTGTGAAAATTCTTTAAAATGCTAAAATGAAATATTTTACGGCTGATTTTGATGCTTTACATCAATTTAAATTTTTGAATTTTAAATCACTCTAAAAGGGGTCATTTTTCAACGGGGTCAATTTTTTTTATAGGACTAACATATAAAATAATGACCCCTGGGGCTCTTTTTCTACAAAAGTGATCTTTTTTTCTACGGGTGGGGGTCATTTTTGCCGTTGAAAAATGAACCCCAGGTCATTATTTGTCTTTACACTGGCTTCCATTTGATATTTCCTCGTTTTGATAGTATGTTTCACTGATCTGGTGTTTTCCATTATCAAGTCTTTTACAAATACATGTATCCTGTAATTCTATTTCTATTCCCCCTGTAGCATTAAAGCTAGCTGTTAAACTCAGTCCAGGGGATCGTTTCTCAAAAAGTCGTAGATTTGGGCCTAAGTTAGTTCAGCTAAGAAAGTTACGCCAGAATTTAGACGGACCTAAATCACGTTTCAGAAAACAGCGTAAGACTGGGCCTAATACTAAGACCTTTCCGCTAGATACTAAGCATGCGCAGATCGTATTTTATTTGGTTTAGAGACTACATTAACATGTGGCGGATCACAATCGAACCTGATTACAAAAAGTAAAGCACAAGAAGCACGAACGAGCTTGCATGTTTTCCCTGGCTTTTCATCTTCTTTCAATCAGATATAATGCACAAATCCATCTGTATTTTCAAGGTCAAAGCATTTACATACTAGCTAGTAGTAGCGGATTCAGAAATCTTGACAAAAGGGGTAGACAGGGGTAGGGTTAGGGGCCCACAGTCACATACAAATAAATGATTGAGCAAATCTTTTGTTATTGTTTTGGACACAACCCCCGCCCCCTCTACATACACAAGTTTTATATTGAATAGTTATATGTATTTTGGTAAGTTCAGATAAATTTTAAAAGTGAAATACATACTTTAGAAAAATATAAACCTGTATACCGGTATTATACGTGCTTGCGAAAATTTGAAATAAAAAGAAATTTTCTTACGAGTAAAAGTTATGTATGGCAAGGGGCTGGAACAGACTCGTAGCAATATATTTGATAGTCGTGAGGATCGGGGCAAAGAGTATCTCAGGGAAGTTTTTCTCTACTTGAAATATTAAATACATGTACATGTACGCACAGAGAGTGAAGGACCGGAGTCCCCGACCCATATAGGCATACTGTGAAAAATTTAACAATTTTGAAATCATATTATAAAGATAATGATTAAAACATGGATAAGAGAATTTTGAAAAAAATTATCAGTTGTCTTAAATTTATAATATCAATCCATTTATTCAATACGAATTAGACATATTGGCATTTCAGCTGATACATGTATACCTACAGTGTATATTTATAATACTAGTATTGAATTTTGGACACATAGTATTACATTGATATCCATATAATGATTTACATAGTCCATGTAAAAATACGTATATATAGCACTTGCAGTATCAATGATGGCTTGCAAAAGCTAAATTAGTTTTAAATCTATAATTCTTGTGAACCATATTACCGACAAGAAATCTTTAGAAATTTTATAAATTTCTCCATTTCAATATTTTCAAATCAGATTTATTTAGATCGGGAAAGGTACTAATTTGAACATCAACATCTTTTCCTAAATTATATCCACTCCTTTTCATTTTTTTATTGAGGATATGTTCATACATTTTTTTCTTTTTATAGATGAAGAATGTATTTTGAAAATGTAATCTATAGACTTAAAGATATTAACAAGTCGCGATTTACATTAACAATAAAAACATTTTACAAAACTTTATAATTATCATTATTATATAAATAGTTTTGTTTCAAATATAATATAAATTATTTTTCTCTTCAAAAATCTATCAAAAAAAAAAAACCCTTTTAAGGCAAATTCGTCCGAGAAACGTGATAGATTGTCAACTAATCAAAAGCACCTTTACGAAAAAATAATAGACATATCTATACATCTCACCTCCCGACAGTGACTCCAGTGAAATAGGAATGAACAGTCTTATGGATATAATACTTCAATTATAATACTGGAACATTTTACAAATTTAAATTTTTATGTTCTTAAAATATTTTAGTTAATTACATGTACATACAATTGAAGGGGAGAAATAAAGATACATTAACTTAATTTAAAGTACATTAACATTTGATGGCATAGTTACCGAATATTTCTTATTATATAATATACTAGTATAAAAATGAATATTGTTTGAGGATTCTATTGAAACATTATCCATTTCAAACAACAAAACATTATCCAGGACCTACAGCATGTAGCATCGTTTTTAAAAAGTTAATGGGGAAGGGGATGGGGGTGGGGGTGGTAAGTACAGATAATTGAGTGATCAAAATATTCAGCCGAGAAGAGAAATGATGGAAATGGAAGTCAGTCCATAAATTATACAGCTTTATTTAAACAGAAAACACATTACTGCATTAAAAACGGTAGGGTTGCACCCCCACCCCCTACGCGTGCCTGCATTTAAAAAAGAAATTCTGGCACTTCTTTAAAAAATCTTACCCAACTTGTATTTAAAATTCTTAGTTACAAATTTCTAGTTCACCCCACCCTTGCAGAAAAAGTCTGCATCTTCGATGGATTTAACTACCTTTCTAATTTTCTACATAATACAGTATAATTTTCACAGTTTTTGGCATAACATATAATTATGTACTCGTATATGAATAGGTATTATATCGTATACGCATAAAATAATAATTCTTTAAACTCTTAATGATTAAAACACATGCCCTTTTTCCAAGTTGTGTACAGATTAAGAACTTACGCCTACTCACGAGCAGGCCTAGATTTAAACCATAATTTAGTCTCGACTAAGTCTCCGCCTTTTTGTGAAACGCACCTAAGTCCGATTGTCGGGTTTAGTCCCTGATTTAGTCCAAACTAAGCTTACGACTGGTCGTAGGCCTTTTTGAGAAACGAGCCCCTGATATATTTTTTGTGCATACTTATCACCTGGAATTATAATTTCTCACTTCGTTCGTCCGAATATAAAATGATTAAGTGCTAAATAATCAGAATTTTAATAAGAATTAAGTCAATACTAATAATGAGTTTGCAACATTAATTGACCAACTCAAATGTCCATAATTCTGCACACCGGATCATTCATTATCTGATGTAGTACACAAGTTACAAGTTTATAATTCCTGGATCCTGAACTACACAACCAGGATCAAAATGTAATACTTAGTATGTTAATTAATGTTTATCTGTACATTAAGAATTAAGTCATTGCTATTGAATTTAATATAAATTCAACCACGATTATTGCCGATATCAAAGAAATGCCGCTGCCGCCGACATTATTCTCCAACAAATCACGAACGTCATCGAAAAAAAATCCAATCGGAAACACGTATAAAACCCGTGCAACTGAAATGAATTCTTGACTTTAGAATGAAATACTTATTTAGACCACATTGATGTGTCGTCTTTCAAATCATAAACAATGAATATTGCATAAAGTAACTGGTGAATGTGGGTTTTTAAAGCTAAGCGGGGCTGTTCCACGGACCTCCCTACATCATATTTGAACTCTGTGATTTTAGTAATAAAGCGATAGAAATAGAAAAGTTATTTTCTCATTGTCCATGTACATTTAAAAAATGATGAATAAATAAAAGGCTATTTTTAATGCAGCGAAAGCTCAATTCATCTGCCATCCGTACGCAGGTAAACAAACAAATTTACCCACTGGTGGTAAATAGAACAGCGTTATCGAGACATGGTGACCTAATTCGTTTCTCTAAAAAGAGGAAACGATCACCCTTATTGCATAGCTCTTAGTAGAATAGATATAATAGATATAGTGGATGATGCAGGATAACTTCCTCGGTCTAACGCCTCGGATTTTATCTTTCAAATGACATTTCGAGACCGAGGAGGTTATCCTGCAGCATTCGCGAAAAAGGGGACTTTATTTCTTAAATATTCTCTAACTGAAAAGAATATGCAAAAGATAAAAAGTTTGCTTTTTACCTTTATAACTCCTCCATAGGCAGCGCCCATTGCGCCTCCTCCGCCAAATACCAGATTTTCTATTTTCACTAAAAACATTTTGTGTTTAAAAAAAAGTTATTTTATGCTTTAACTTACGGCAAAATTTGGAAATACACGTGTCATGATATTTTTTTCTGATCATTTTTTTTTTCTATTTTCACCAAACTTATGTGAAGTACTTTATATAATACCAAATTGGAAAAAACCTAAATTTAGTTATATTTCTAATTTCATTCAATTTTAAATATGTATAAAAATAAATGTGCAATACATCATCTTTATTGCATATTTGGAAAATACCTAAATGCTAAAATTTTTTTTTTATTATTATCAGCATTTCTGCAAAACAATTAATACCTTGATCTTTTGATCCTGAATTTGCCATTTTGATACCTAAAAATAATGAAAATGGCCCAAAAACAATAAAAAAATTATGTTTCCCTTAAAAAAAAGAATTAAAAACTGAATTTGTTATAAATAGCGAAATATAAATCAAAACTAATACTCACTTGTTGCAAAATATGTCTTTTCTGCACTGAAATTGACTCTACATTAACTCCTATATAAATTAAGTTATTGAACAGTTCCTTATATGTTATATAGATGTATATGAGATGCATAATAGTTTCCTTAAATCCGTTTCATTACAGTAACACATCTTGTTATTTTTCAAGATATCAGTTTAGAGTTTAAGTGCTAATTACTGAGTATGCTCTGATTCAAAGAATAGTACATTTGTCTAGATTTTGGTAGGATTACTGCAATTTAATATTTAATGTACCTAGCTACCTACCTAGTCCTTGTTGCATCTGGAGGCACAGAGGGCAAGGACTAAGGATTTCCATCCCCTCTGTTCTTGGCTGTCCTTTCCATATCTCCCCAGGTAAGATTCATGTCCTTCAAATTTTTTAATAGTTCGCCTCCATTTTTTGTCAGCCTTTCCTCCTTTTCCTCTGTTGGGTTCGTCTTCGTGCAACTATATTTAATTTATACTGTCCCATAACAAAAACAATCGTTTTTAAAAATAAAAATCAAATAATTTTTTTTTACCCCAAGGATGCAGTAATAAAGATTTCCCATGTAGATTGTCCCTATACTCGATAAAACAGGAAAAAACCTCTTATTTTTAATAGATGTCACATGGAGAAGACATTTTATATAAAGCAATTGGTATTTTATTATATATTGTTCTAAAAATTCTGTACTTTATTCGAGAGAAAACCAGAAAGGTATGATTTTTTACAAACCAATTATAGATTGCATTAATATTCAATGTAATGATTCTTGTGTATAGAAAAATGTTTCAAACTATACAAAAACAAATAAGTTCATAAAAAAAAAACTTTGTATGTAAAATTTATTTTACTGCTACATATCAATTAATAATTAAATCATTGAAGGGCTCTAAAATAATTAAACTGATATTTATGTCTCAAGGGTTTGGAAACTTTCGAATGGTTTTTATATTTTACACAACAAAAATGGCGATAGAGGGGTGTGTGTACCAGGTATTTTCCATATCCTCTGAAGAACAACCTAAAATAGGAAGACAATGACATATTCAAGTAATACAGAATTTCTCTATACTGAAATCATATTGCATCATATTTTCAGATGCAATCTATACCCAAATGAATACCGTCAACTCACGTACTTTCGTGGCTTCAATATGTTGTGCTTTGAGCGCAAATTTTCATTTGGGGATTTCATTTTGTGGATAAATAGAGTGATATTTTTTTCTTATTCAAACTTACCCTGTCATCGGTCATTTGCGAAATTATTTTTTTTCAAAAATATTCTCATTGTACATACAAGTAATCTGAAGAGGTGCCTGAGTTTCTGATTGACTATATCTATGTCGTTTTTTGAGAAAAGATCTTCCAACAATCTACCCCATTTCCCATTGGTACGCTCACTCCTCGACCTCTAAAAACGAATTCATACAGACATCTTAAGATCTTTTAATTGTTTGCATCACATGACATTTTAACAAGTTCTCCTTGGAAAAAACTGTGTTGATAGATTTAATAAGCAAGAGCTAAAATTTGAAAAGAAAAAAGATTCTCCACCCCTTACAATTTATGACGCTCCATTTTGGAGACTCCATCTTCATCATTTTAGACCAAACCACAACATTACACCCTACGAAATCGGCAAATCTATAAAATGAATTATAAAAAATAGAACTGAAATATAAAGTTTCTAATAGAGAAAACATTGTAAAGCTGTGTATACGATGGCTTTTAAAATAAAACAACTCACGGATCTATCATGATAGATATACTGTCAAAACCGGAAAAGCAGTTAATGTAATATTGTCAAGTCCTTACGTGTAAACTGTGTGAGTTTGAAGGGGGATCCTCTTATAAATCACATCAATTGTAGTTTGTCGTCAAAAAAGTTAAATATGTGCTGGTACACTGAATTGTAATTATATGACTGAGTGTCATATGCATGAATATATATAACTCCTCAGTCACTAAATGAAGTGGAAAACAATTTAAATTCATTATAAACGTATTTTTTTTTTACGAAAAACCTCTTAATGCTTAATTAGAGAGAGAGAGACAGAAAGAGAAAGAGAGAGAGACATGAGGATAATGGGTATAAAAAAAAATAGAATGTGTTGATTTCTTTACTGTGCGCACTGAACTCACTAAATGATAGCCCAGCCTCCCATATGATTATACTAGCAAAGTCCATGTTTTGCTCTTGGAGACCCGAACTAAGTTTCAGATCAATAAGTAAAAATAGGAGGTGCACAAAGACAATTTGTGTGAAAGTATCATTAAATTTCATTCAGTGGAATAAGGAAGCTGCGGATAAGAGATGGGTACCCCAAAGCTTAACGGACAAACGGACCTACAGACAGCTAGACAGGCAAACGGACGGACATCCCGATCACGATATACCCTCTCGCCTTGCATGTGGAGGATATAATGAATAGTATAAATGGTTTGAATGTAGTTAGTCCGGGAGCAGAGGATAGAATTTTCAAAGAATTGATGCATTTTCGATATATAATTTACGCGCACCGCCACAACATCATACCTCCATGAAATTTACAGTTTTGAAGAAGGCACTCTTGCTCATCATAACTATGTATGTAATTAATTGTTTAATACCAAGGAGCAGAGAAGAATGTTTTTCAAAGAATTAAAATGCATTTTCAATATATATTTTATATAGCCCCGCCCTTAGACCAAAGATCCTGATTCTGGGGCCATGAAATTCAAAATTTTGGAAGAGGCGCCCTTCCTCATCATAACTATGTATATACTAGTAGTTAGTTTGTTCAAGACCCATGAGCAAAGAAGTTGATTTTTTCAAGATAAATCCATTTTCATTATATAATTAATATAGACCAAAATAACACCAGAACCCCTGACCCAGAGGCCAAGAAATTCACAATTTTGGAAGAAGCACCATTCCTCATCATAACTATACATTAAGTTTATTTGTTTAATACCCAAGAGCAGAGCAGAAGATTTTCAAATAAATAATGCATTTTCAATATTTAATCTATATACTGTATTCCTGTCCTAGCATCAGAGCCCTTGACCCTGGGGCCACAAATTTTAAAATTTTGGTACAAGAATCATTGCTTATTACAATCATGCCAATAGTTTGACTGCTTGATGTCCAAGAGAAAAGAAGATTTGGTTTTGGAACAAACTCTCAGGCCTCAGGAAGACAGGGTCCATGAAATTCACATTTTTGTTTCTCTTTACCCTTAGATGCTTTATTGGAATAGGTTGAGTGGTTGCAGAGAAGAGGCTAAAAATGTTAACACATAACGCAAGTCGCACGACGACGGACAAATAGATAGATTACATACACATGTATAAGTGGGGATTTTTTAATATTTTAAAGTTAGATGTCAAAATATTTTCACAACCGGGACAGGATTTCTTTATTTCAGCGAGTACATAATGCTCAAAAAATAAAGAAAAAAGTCGTTCTCATTTGTGAAATAAATTTTATATCCAATTAAAGAATAATAAACTGTATCTGGATTTAATAACATTTTTTGTGAAGGGGAGGAAAATTTCGAATTTGCCACAATTTAATTTGTTTTAAATTTCTTAAATTTTTAAATGAAAAAAATTACTTCCGTATATTTTTTCTAAAAATATCACTTTTTATTCAATGGATAAATTGCATTATTTGACTGTAGAATACAAATGTATGTTATAATTTAAGTGTGATATTTTCTTTTCAAATGATCAATAACTTTATTTGAATTTGAATACGAAGAAAAAACACAGTGAATAATTTTAAAATGTAAACTAATAATATGAAATCCCGATAGCGGTTGGATTTTAGTTTGAGATTTTAAATTTAAAAAAAAACTAAAATTAGCAAAACTCAACAACATCTTTAAGGGTTTGAAAAATGAAATGGTATACACTGTATATGAAAAACAACATTAACAACCCTCTACTCTCCGGCAACGAATCGTTAAAATCCAATGAAAATATTTGGATTTCAACTACATAAAGCATGCAATTTTTTTTTAACTGGATTCAAATAAAAAGATTGGAAAAGATGAAGTCCACAAGTTAACGATTATACACGGTTTTATAATGTGCCTTTGAAATTAGCACCTCCATTGTATATATAAGCAGTAGAGCTATTCACTTGTTATTACTTGACAATAAATACTGGCTTCATGTAAAGTGTCTTTCCTGAAATAAAGATGTGACTTTGATATAGTGCGAGAACACTTATTTGATTATCAGAAGGGTTTTGTATAATAAATAAACCATGTAAAAATGTCGGGTGGGCAAGATATATAAATAAGGTACATGGGAGTTAGGAATGTTTAAAGGATAAATCAAAGGAAGGTACGTTTTATTTTGCATTTTACAATTATTTTTTTTTATATCATTAAAGATTTTAAGATTTTCTACATTAATAGAAGAATCTCTGAAAAATCATGCTATATATCTTACATAAGATCTTTCAGTTTAGTTATAGGTATTATTTCATACAAACAAATAAATTTCATTGTAAAAATGCTTCTGATTAATTTAAGGGCCTTTAAGTCGGTTCAAAGATGGCAAGTTTGGAATCATCAGATTTTGATGGTATGTTAAGCAGATTCAAGAATTTAAAAAGAATTACAAGGTTTTAGAATCCGCTTTTGCTAATAGATGAATTATCAAACATATCTTTAACAAATCAATATAGAACATAAAGTTGAGAACCTAGTTTTCGGAGGAGGTGGAGCAAAGGGCGTTGCCTATATAGGAGTTATTGAGGTAAAGTATCGAGTTATTTTCTATTTATTAATTACATAGTCATTAGTTTTGTTCCCAGTCAAGCACTCCTCTTCAAAGTAACACTCCTTTATTTAGTACAATGTTCAAAGATCAAAATGCAAAATAAAGTAGGTACTGTGTTACCGAGTTTAAATTTATTTACTTTAAATTTAAACTCAATTTTGTTGCATGTGATAGTAGATTTAGAATAAACAGCCGTTGCTTCAAAAAAAAAAAAAAAAAAAAGAAAATGCATTTCAACTTTATAACCACCAATCGTGCACCACTCCCCAGAGAAACCACTTATCCAGATGAGCTCTAAACATCGCACACTTAGGTGTTCTATAGGTATTTATAGGGTAGTTTTATACAGTTAGAGTGATCTGCCCTTAGAAGTAATATAAAAGATTAAAATATTCTTACCATTAAATTAGATCAAGAATAATCATTTCCCCCCTTAATTTTCCCTATAAGTAAGTTAGCAATAGTGATTTCTGCTTATGGATTAGCTGCAGAACTGTAGCTCTCCGAAAAAAATATTTTGATCCAGTCTCTTAATATATTTTTTTCGGAGAGCTACGGTTCTGCAATTACTTATGGATAATCTATTGTTTTTGAACATTTTTTTTCCTGCGGATATAAGGCAGACTCGGTACTCTGTGTTGAAAATTTACTAAATAGTCCCCGTATACCAACATATATGTGAGATATAAGTCTAAAAGGCACTTTTATTAGTGTTTAGAGTTTCCTTAAGCTCTTTTGACAAAAAAAAAAAAAAAAAGAAAAGAAAAGAAATGCCACATCTTTTTACGAAAACACAGTTTTAGGGGTGACAGAAACTTATGACGAACATGCATCTGGCTGGATGGTGAGATCGACGGGCACACAGGCCTAAAAAAAAAACATGCCTGTGCATTAATTAATTTTATTAATCTTATTAATTCAATTCGTATTCTTTGCATGACCTTAATATATCTTTATCAAAAAATTGAACAGGTTCTGGAGCAGGTTCACATTTTGCCAAAAGTTAAAAGGTTTGCTGGAACGAGTTTTGGATCCATTGTTGCTTCACTACTCGCCTTGAAATGTCCAGTATCAAATATCAAAAAATACATGAGAATCAATTTCGACTATTTACTAAAAGGTCATATTTATTGTACAATTCTGAATTCACTATTTCATTAAGTTTAACTTAATTTCCATGGATTTATTTATTATGCTCACTGAACACAATTTACAATATCAACAAATTTTAATGCATATTTTAAATTATCTTTTGCTCATTGAGACACATATAATGTTTAAAGTTCTTAACGGAACATCATGACACAATTAACTTTCAAAGATTCTGCTAAAATCTAGATTGCTGTTGTGGACTATGTAGCTGCAATCAAGGTTGTTGTTGCTCCTGTCCTTGTTGCTGCACATGCTGGCTTGGTTGTATGAATCGCATCAGCTCCTGTTTTCTGACAACCTGTGGTATCTGCAATCTTCTCTGCAGAGTTTGCTCTTGCAGGAGTTTGTCATTTGGAATGTACACTGGGACAAAATTCAAAACTTGGCTCGGAAACAGATTTAAGGAACTTGGTTTTTCAAGCAAAGTCACCTTTAAGGAGGTTAGATGACGAAGCACACTATAATTTCTGAGTAAATACTGAAAATATCGATGGATTTACATGTACATCTAGACATAACCTTTTAAAGAAAATTTTGCTCAATTTCAATTGAACATGAAAATAATTACAATAATTAGATAAAATTTATTTTACAATTTCTTTACAAAAATCTTAGAGTAAAAGATTTAATTTAATACCTTTCGTAATAATAAATATTTGATTCTCTTGGAGATATTTCTATTTTTGAAAAAAAAATGTTCAGAAGACGTAATCATATTTATGTTATCTATATATTTATTTAAGTTGTACGAAGAGAATGGTAATGAACTGTGCATAGTTGTGACCAACATCAGCACACAGATAGAGGAATACTGTCACATGAAGACAACACCAGATATGGAGATCAGACAAGCTGTCAGAATGTCTATGTCCATTCCAGGTATTTTAATCTACAATTTTTTTAACATAATATATTTGACAGTACAATACTGAGTAGTGTTTGCAAATGGAATAAAGAACAAATTAAACGCACAACAAAAATAGCTCTCTCCCACTTTTAAAATTAATCGACTAAACATGCTCTCAATGAGAGACGGATCCATGTCTTCAAAAGCTGATTGAAGACAGTTAGTTTCTTCAACGGGTTTTCTTTATTCTGAAAATATGAATGATAACAAAAAAAGTTAAATAAGGGATCATCGAATAAATAGCTTTTTAAATTGTTCAATAATTAAAAATGAATCATGTTATGGTCAAAACCTTTTGCATATCAATCTAAATTCTTTTCTTAAATAATTGTAGCTATTGAACTTTAATAAACAATATAGTTTTATTATTTTCTACTTACCAAATGAAGAGTTTATTATCCTCATTTAAAATTTCAATAAAAATTAACAAAAAACAAAAATGTTCGTTTGTATTTCTTATCATTTCCAGTGGTTTTTGAAGACGTGCGAGTGATAAACGCCAGTTCTGGTAGAGAAGCGGTATATGTTGATGGTGGATTGTTGTGTAATTATCCAGTATTCTGCTTTGATGGTAATTCTTTTTTTCATTAACATTTCAAATTAATTAAAAGTAATACCTGTAATATCACTTGCCCATGAAGTTCTTCATCACTTTCAAAACATTACAGGGTGGTGGCTTTCAATGAAACCAGAACACTCTTTCTTCAGGATGTTAACAGATGTAGAATCGATGCCAGAAATATACGATGGAAGATTTAAACCAGAAAAACACGAGGATTTGATTAAAACACTTGGATTCGTATTGGTAAAACTCCAAATTTTCTTTGTGTTTTTAGCCTTATTTATGTCAAAGCTCAAAAAGTCTAGATCGATTGAAGTATGTTTATAGTTGTCTTAATTCTAATGCATAATGGCTGTCGAATTTAACAGTTTTGACTTCTTTCGAGGAACATGTGCAAAGGCCTCAAAATTTGGTACAAAACAAATTAAAATTCAAATATTCCACTGTATTTTGGCATATGCTTTGAAAAAAACATAATTTAAAATATATCAAAACATATTGGATGAAATATCTTTTAAACTATTCTTCTCGTTACCAACATGCAGTTTTAGGTACATGTACAAATGAAATTGATATGCAATCAATCAAATGTACTGTGTTGCACGAAATACTATAAAATTATCGCCACAAACCTTAGACTGATTTAATTTTATTTAAGGAATGAATTTAATAGCTACCAATTTTATACGGTATAAACTTGGTTGGGGCAGTTTACACTTTATAAACCGCTTTATAAACTTAATTTTTTTATCCAGTCAAATACAGCGTTAAAACCAGAATTAAATTATACAGAAGTATTTTAGATAATTCTTCTAAAAAGACTTAAGGATGTCCGATCCTCAGCCAGGAAGGATAACTCCAAATATAAATATTTGATTTGAAATGCATCAAAATGAAGCTTGAAAATGAATTTCTTTCATGCAACAATTTTCATTTTATTCATCTTTAAAAGATTCAAGGTCTTTGAGTCTTAGAAAAGGTCTTATAAAAGTTGACATTTGTACCCTATTAAAGGAGATAACATTAATACAGTTTCAGAGAAATAAGATTTTCTTGAATCCAGCCTTAGGAACATGTGCTTATTAGAGTTATATGAAATAAGAAGTGATATGTGGTGTCTTGCAATGATAGCAAAAGCCTTTTACACTTTGTAATATAGAATACATTGCGGAAATAGAAGACAAAATATACCAAATAAGTATAAAAATCATGACAATTTCCCTGAATGCCTGGATACCTATCGTTTTTAGCTCACCTGAGCCGAAGGCTCAAGTGAGCTTTTCTGATCACATTTTGTACGGCGTCCGTCTGTCCGTCTGTCTGTCTGTCTGTCTGTCCGTAAACTTTTCGCATTTTCGACTTCTTCTCAAGAACCGCTGGGCCAATTCAACCAAACTTGCCACAAAGCATCCTTGGGTGAAGGGGATTCAAGTTTGTTCAAATGAAGGGCCACGCCCTTTTCCAAGGGGAGATAATTATGAATTAGTGAAAAATTATTGGCATTTTTAAAAAAAATCTTCTCAAGAACCACTGGGCCAGGAAAGATGAAACTCATGTGGAATCATCCTCAGGTAGTGTACATTCAAGTTTGTTCAAATCATGACCCCCAGGGGTTGGGCGGGACCAAAATGGCCGACCAAAGTTTTACATAGAAATATATAGGACAATTCTTTAAAAATCTTCTTCCCAAGAATGACAAAGCCATAATTCATCATATTTATATGGAAACATGCTCAGGTAGTGTAGATACAAGTTTGTTCAAATCATGACCCCCGGGGGTAGGGCGGGGCCACAATGGCCAACCAAAGTTTTACATAGAAATATATAATAAAATTCTTCAAAAATCTTCTTCTCAAGAATAACAAAGCCATGATTGGTAATATTTATATGGAAGCATCCTCAGATAGTGTAGATTCAAGTTTGTTCAAATCATGACCCAAGGGGGTAGGGCGGGGCACAATGGCCAACCAAAGTTTTACATAGAAATATAAGGGAAAAATTCTTTAAAAATCTTCTTCTCAAGAATAGCAAAGCCATGATTGGTCATATTTATATGGAAGCATCCCTAGGTAGTGTAGATTCAAGTTTGTTCAAATCATGACCCCTGGGAGTAGGGCGGGGCCAAAATGTCCGACCAAAATTTTACATAGAATTATATGGGAAAATTCTTTAAAAATCTTCTTCTCAAGAATAGCAAAGCCATAATTCATCATATTTATATGGAAGCATCCTCAGATAGTGTAGATTCAAGTTTGTCCAAATCATGACCCCCGGGGGTAGGGCGGGGCCACAATGGTTTTACATAGAAATATATAGAAACATTCTTTAAAAATCATCTTCTCAAGAATAGTAAAGCCATGATTGGTCATGGGACTTCTTTTGGATTAAAACTTTTCAATAATAAAAAAAATTTCTACTTTTTCCTAGCCACAGTGCTCAGGTGAGCGATGTGGCCCATGGGCGTCTTGTTTAACGTAAAATATATTTGTTGATAAATTTGCAATTTGAAAATGCATTGCTGATATTTCAATTTGCTTTTTCCGCAAAAATATTGGAGATTTGACAATTTTCCCTATATAATATGACTAACTTTAATCTTTAACTTTCAAGAAATACATGTACTGTGGATAAATTTACATAACTTTGTGGATTCAGAGATACTTTTATGAGTATTTTTGGTTACTTAACTGCTAATTTTATAAACCTGAGGATCGGACTACCTTAATGATAGATTGTATCTGCTAAAAGAGTCACTGATTTCAGGAACAAAGTATTATTTTGGATAGCATCAGAATATTTTGTCAGAAATGAGCTCTAGTGGGACGTAGATGAGCGCGATGGACCGTTTTTCTCTTATTGTATTGCTTCACGTAATTTAGTGGAAAACAAAAGTTGTTTGTTATTGACAAACTTTTTAAATCCTAGTTTGGTGACAAGGAAAGTGAACTATATCGAAGACAATTCATTGGAAAATCAGGTATAAACAAAATTCAAACTACCATAACAGAGCAGCCAAGTGGCGTGGGCAACCAAGAAAAAAATACTGTTGATGGAATTTTTAAAGAGATCGATACCAAGTTGAAAAGGTAGCCAAACTGTCTTAAAATTGTAAATAGCTATGAAAATCTAAACATAGTTATGCTGTCATAATGATAATAAGTGTACACACACGTACGTAGTAAATAGTGATGCTCGCTTTTTCCAGTGAACAAAGACGTTGCCACTCTGTTTGTAAATAAATTATTTCATTCAATGTTTTACAGCTCTTTAGTGTATCTGTATATATAAAAACTGATGTTAAAAATGTCTTGATCGAACAACAGTTGATATAGGTACAATAAAAATCATCTGAGTCGCACTTACTTTATATAAATTATGACTTAGTGTTCATCTCTTAAACATAGGGGGTCATTTAAATGATTTTCTGGGTAGAGTTTTATTGTTGATCAACATGTTCCGAGGCTTAATCATATTCAATACATGTATTGACCAAGTCTTGAGAAATTTTTTTCAGTAGCACATATCGGTTATAACACAATAATCCTCATTAGAATAAGGTGTATTGGAAATATGAATGTGTTTTAACATTTCTTGTCGTAGAAAATTTGTGTCCTTGAACAAAGCCGAAAAAGACACAAGTGAGAACCAGTTGATGGAGTTTTTGAAGGTAAATCTTTATAATGGATGTCAACGAATATTCGAGAAGTCGACTATTGTTAACACCTAGGTCACATTTCCCGGCCGGTAGTCGTAGACCGGTGGTAATCGGTAGTAATCCGTGATGTTGACGATGCCCCAACATCGGTCCACATCGGCCTAGTAGTCCAAAAAGTATCAGTCACATTATCTAGCGATGTGCATACGATGGGCAATCAATGCATTTTATGATAAAAATGGCGTGGTTGCCGGCCGGACCTACAAAGGCCCAGCGATGCATTGCTAATCATAAAACGATGTTCCAGGATAATCGGTCGATGTATATTACATCACTCATACATTGACACCATTAGTGATCGGACGGTGACTAAGGCCATTTTGCGAATCGGTGGGGTCATCGGTAGGAAATAATTCGTAGTTAAAAATCAGCGATGTCTCCAACGATGCCCCTCATAGCTCCTCATCGGCAACCCATAATTAACACATCTTTCACGGATCGGCCGATGTATGGTCGAGCATCGTCCAATATCCGTTGAATCTGAAGTCATCGGTGGGTTGAGTGGTGTTCAACAGATAACGACCGATCATCGGTCGATGTTCGACCAAATTTTGGCCCGTAGTCGACCGATGTTCGAACGATGTTCACCAATGTATGAGCGAAGTAATATACATCGGCCGATTATCCTGGAACATCGTTTTATGATTAGCAATGCATCGCTGGGTCTTTGAAAATCCGGCCGGCAACCACTCCATTTTTATCATAAAACGCATTGGTTGCCCATCGTATACCCATCGCTGGATAATGTGACTGATTCTTTAAGAACTACTAGGCGGATATGGACCGATGTTAGGGGATCGTTAACACCACGGATTACCGCCGATTATCACCGGTCTACGGCTACCGGCCGGGAAATGTGACATAAGCATAAAGAATCGTTAAAAATAGATCCGTCCATGCAGTTCATTTTTAACAGATCATTTTTTCTCGTGAGTAAAACTCAGAGTAACCGTAAGGCTAATCGTTTCTTCGTTAATTGTTCAAAGAAAATAATTTGCTTGTTGATTTCTGTATGACAACTATGCAATGGAATACTTTGAAAGATAATCTGCAATCCCATAATGCACAGTGCAACCATTAATAAATTAAGAAGTATTACTAATAATTAAACAGCTGTTACATGTTGTAAATAATTATGAAATTATGGGACAGTAGTAAGCGCAATTTAATTCTTTTTTTTTCGATTGTGACTTTTCAACTTTATATTCAGCCTTTCCCCACAAAAAATTAAAGTCCAGGCTCTTTGAAATCATTGACAGCTGGGTTTTTTTTTTTATTGATTTGGTTAATTTACTGAACTCTTCATTGGTCATTTGCAAAATCATTTGTTAAAAGACATTCAGACAGTTCAAACAAATAATCTGAAATTGAACTTAAAAAGATGATTGAGTTTCTGATTGACAATATCCATGTTGTTTTTGGAGATCAGGTCTTCCAATAAACTGTTGGAATTCAAATGGGTACCAACTGCACTTTGTTATAATCAGACCTAGCTATTTTTGTATAAATATGAAGCATAATTTGTTCAGAATCTAGAAGGTGAAAAAACAACACTTTCTGTGTCCAACTTGACATTTAGATACTTGGTTTATCGACGACGTATTGTCAATTAACAATTACTTTCAAGGAGAATATGGAGATAACGAACAGTATTCAATCTTTAAGTCCATAAAACAATTCAAAACAAGAGCAGAGCAAACACGGGCCTCCGAAACATCAGAGGTGGGATCAGGTGCCATGGAGGAGTGAGCATCCCCTGCTGACTGGTCACACCCGCCGTGTGCTCATTGTCATGATCGTGAAATAACGGAAAAATCCGTCGTCAATTCAGTGTATAAATAATGGACTAACAATTGGTATGAAAAACGTCAGTCAGCATTTGACTCAATGATAAATTGTATTTGCTGACAAGGTCATTGTATCGACCATAGAACTTACGAAATGATGACTTTAAACGAGACTGCTGATATTCTTCTTTCATCAACTTGCTTGTCAATAATTTACCTCGTTTC